GGGAAACCCCCGAAGCTGGTCACCTTCTTTGCGAAGATGCTACAGATGATCTTCTCAGTCCCCTACAAGCAACCTTCTCCCTATGTAGGCGTCTCCAACTGGTGGGGTGCAAGCGACGCCAGTGCTACGAGAGATGTCCACACTAGCCGCCCATGGATTGGAGGCTGGATCTCTGACATGGAGGCCCCAGACAAATCAGCTGTCTGGTGGTTTCAACTCGAAATTCAACCGGACGAATGTCCATGGGCTTTTGTTGATGGTGACTCTACCAGAAGAATAGCATCCTTGGAAATGCTTAGCACCTTAGTTTTGGCAGCCTTGCTGATCCAACATGGCTCCTCGACTTTACTCCGCCTCCAGCTGGCACTGATCTCTGACAACCAGGGCAACGTCTTTGCCCTGTTGAACCAGAACACGAGAAAGATGCCCACCGCAGCCTTTCTCATGCAGCTGGTGCATCTACTATATAACCGAGGAGCACAACTGGCACCGTACCATTGTAAAAGAGATCACAATCAATGGGCTGACGAGCTGACGAGCTGACCCACCCGGCGCCAGTAGGTTTCACCCCGGAAAAGCGACTTTCGCTTCAGTCAATTTTTGCTTCCTTTAAGCTTTTGCCACAAGTTTTGCAGGATTGGAAAACTCCTTCTCTTTGAAACCGGTCCTTGTGGACCTGAAGGAATGATAGAATCCTGCCCGTCTCCACCCAACCCACCCATGATCCCATGTGGGAGTCCGGTGGGCGCGGCTGCTTTAATGTGGGGTTGTTTTTGATGACACCACCACTGATTTCTCTGCCAAGTTGTGGCAGGTGGTCTAACAGACCACTGGTGACATAGGTCACAGACATAAAGCAGCAGCCGCACAGGCACCATCTTAGCATTGGGTAAAAAAAGGTAGATGGTGCTGCCTTGCTCTTAGCTTTTCGTTGGAACCTTAGTAGCTTGCCATTTTCGATTGTTACGGGAACACATACACATTGTATGCCCATTATGGTTTTTTACACCTCCTAGAATTATTGTGTGTGTGAACCATCTGAAAAGATGTAAAACTTCTACTTTCGATTTTACCTTTCCGGTTTTGTTTGCATTATTTCATTTCAAGCAGGGGGGTACAGAGCACAGTGGAAACTGCACCCAACGAAGCTATCCACTTGTGCTGGAAGCAGAGTCTGATCAACTCTGTGTACCTGCTTTTAAATGTCGACTTTGAATTTCTTGATGGCGACCGGCTAAGCCTAGAACCGGCATGTCGAACAATTGGTTTCTGCTTTTCCTTTTTTTTCACTGCACAGTTGTCGCAATCTTTCAAGAGAGGTAACGACTTGGTTCAGATGGATAAGTTGCGTCTAGCAAGGACATTGGAAGAATTCCTTCGCACTGTTTCTCGCCTCTGGTCATCAACCAATTCCTGTCATGTTTAATTGGAGTGTTTTTGCACGTATGATACATTCCACATCAGAATTCGCAATGACTGTTCTGAGCAAGTGTGTGATTCATGCTGGATTCGTCAAGGTGGCATGAACCCTTCGGGGAATGCTCTTCTAAGCAAAATGTGGATGCAACGACCCGATGTCTGAATTTACACTTTTAATTTAGTAATTCATCTAAGTAAAGTGAAACAGTCGTTCACCTTCCAAGTCTCACTCTGTCGGTCGTGATGGGGGTGTTGACACAGTTGGCCGCTGTGCCTGGCTTCACCTTGTTTTGAGAGACGTCAAGGGTTCGTAGCTGACTGCCGCGACAACCTTCTTTTTCAACGTTGCCGAAGAGAGTACGGAGCTCGACAATTTGACACCATGTCACATGATCAGGACAGGCGCCAGGACATGCTTGCAGGTATGGTGACTCTTCTTTTTTGGTCGTTGGTGAGGTTCAATTGTGCACGTAATTCATTTGAATACTGGCAGCCGTCTATGGGGTTGACGTGACATTTAGGCCTTTGAGCCTGCAACAAGGGGAATTTTGCACGATCATGTGGATGTATCATTTCATTAACTAGTTCCCCATGGGTCCCCTATTTCATGTGTTCTCCTCTCTACAGCTGCGCGTGCTTAGGTAGGTGTAGGTTTCGCTGTGGTAGGTTGGTTTAGGCGCTTCCGTCCTTCCCCCCCCTCCGCTGGTCTTGTTCTGTGTCCGTCGGCCTCCACTTCTCTTTTCCCTTGCCCTTTCAGGATTTGCCCACTTTGGGCCAGGTTTGCCTGTGTTGGTGTTTGCTCCTTCCCTCTTCTTTTGCGTTCCCCTCTTCGCGTCCTGGTTAAGTAATTTTCATCTCATTTTCATCTTCACCTCACCTTCATTTCCTTTCAATTTCATTTTCATCTCATTGTCCGGACCTTAATTTTCCCACCCTCCCGCGGGAGGGTGTGTGTGTGAACCATCTGAAAAGATGTAAAACTTCTACTTTCGATTTTACCTTTCCGGTTTTGTTTGCATTATTTCATTTCAAGCAGGGGGGTGCAGAGCACAGTGGAAACTGCACCCAACGAAGCTATCCACTTGTGCTGGAAGCAGAGTCTAATCAACTCTGTGTACCTGCTTTTAAATGTCGACTTTGAATTTCTTGATGGCGACCGGCTAAGCCTAGAACCGGCATGTCGAACAATTGGTTTCTGCTTTTCCTTTTTTTTCACTGCACAGTTGTCGCAATCTTTCAAGAGAGGTAACGACTTGGTTCAGATGGATAAGTTGCGTCTAGCAAGGACATTGAAAGAATTCCTTCGCACTGTTTCTCGCCTCTGGTCATCAACCAATTCCTGTCATGTTTAATTGGAGTGTTTTTGCACGTATGATACATTCCACATCAGAATTCGCAATGACTGTTCTGAGCAAGTGTGTGATTCATGCTGGATTCGTCAAGGTGGCATGAACCCTTCGGGGAATGCTCTTCTAAGCAAAATGTGGATGCAACGACCCGATGTCTGAATTTACACTTTTAATTTTGTAATTCATCTAAGTAAAGTGAAACAGTCGTTCACCTTCCAAGTCTCACTCTGTCGGTCGTGATGGGGGTGTTGAAACAGTTGGCCGCTGTGCCTGGCTTCACCTTGTTTTGAGAGACGTCAAGGGTTAGTAGCCGACTGCCGCGACAACCTTCTTTTTCAACGTTGCCGAAGAGAGTACGGAGCTCGACAATTTGACACCATGTCACATGATCAGGACAGGCGCCAGGACATGCTTGCAGGTATGGTGACTCTTCTTTTTTGGTCGTTGGTGAGGTTCAATTGTGCACGTAATTCATTTGAATACTGGCAGCCGTCTATGGGGTTGACGTGACATTTAGGCCTTTGAGCCTGCAACAAGGGGAATTTTGCACGATCATGTGGATGTATCATTTCATTAACTAGTTCCCCATGGGTCCCCTATTTCATGTGTTCTCCTCTCTACAGGTAGGTTGGGTTCTGCGCGTGCTTAGGTAGGTGTAGGTTTCGCTGTGGTAGGTTGGTTTAGGCGCTTCCGTCCTTCCCCCCCCTCCGCTGGTCTTGTTCTGTGGCCGTCGGCCTCCGCTTTTCTTTTCCCTTGCCCTTTCAGGGTTTGCCCGCTTTGTGCCAGGTTTGCCTGTGTTGGTGTTTGCTCCTTCCCTCTTCTTTTGCGTTCCCCTCTTCGCGTCCTGGTTAAGTAATTTTCATCTCATTTTCATCTTCACCTCACCTTCATTTCCTTTCAATTTCATTTTCATCTCATTGTCCGGACCTTAATTTTCCCACCCTCCCGCGGGAGGGTGTGTGTGTGAACCATCTGAAAAGATGTAAAACTTCTACTTTCGATTTTACCTTTCCGGTTTTGTTTGCATTATTTCATTTCAAGCAGGGGGGTGCAGAGCACAGTGGAAACTGCACCCAACGAAGCTATCCACTTGTGCTGGAAGCAGAGTCTAATCAACTCTGTGTACCTGCTTTTAAATGTCGACTTTGAATTTCTTGATGGCGACCGGCTAAGCCTAGAACCGGCATGTCGAACAATTGGTTTCTGCTTTTCCTTTTTTTTCACTGCACAGTTGTCGCAATCTTTCAAGAGAGGTAACGACTTGGTTCAGATGGATAAGTTGCGTCTAGCAAGGACATTGAAAGAATTCCTTCGCACTGTTTCTCGCCTCTGGTCATCAACCAATTCCTGTCATGTTTAATTGGAGTGTTTTTGCACGTATGATACATTCCACATCAGAATTCGCAATGACTGTTCTGAGCAAGTGTGTGTTTTCAATCCCATTGCGCGCCCAACTATATCCAATTACAGTATATGGCCATGACACATCTACTTTTCCAATTTGGTTGCTTAGCATTGAATTCTTGGATGCTTGAAGGCACAATTTTTCTCCTGTAAATCCCAATATATGGTTCAGAACCCCATATTTTCCCGTAACAGATGAGGACTTACCAATGTTGGTGATATACTGCAGTAGTTCCCCATTACATCATATTACATCCTCATTACTGTATATCCCCGTTAAAAGGTAAGATTTATACCTCCGAATATCATTGTATTTTTAAACTATTTACTATGTTGGCCAGTATTGCCCTGCAAAAAATGGAGCTCCATCCCATATTCATGACTATACCCTGTTGGTGGTTATACATCCAATTATATACCTATTGAATGGCTGGTATTTGCCTGTTAATTTCTCAGTTTTGGCCAAGAGTGGACATAGAACGAACAAAATCAGGACTTTTCCCAGCACAACTTCTTTTGGTTGACTCCTCAGTTATGGCATTCTTGTTGTTTGATTTTCCCATATTTTCCCACTACTCAGGATTGAACATTCTTCATCCACCCAGGGCATCCCCCAATTTCCAAATGGTTTCAATCCGGGTTGGCCTGACAATGGGGGATATCAAACAAACATGGCTTGATGGAGAATCCCCCAACTATAGTTCGATGATTCAAAACAACTAAGTCCACCATGAAATCGGGAATTTCCATTGACATGTTTGATTGAAAAAAAGGCGAACGGAATCCGATTTTTGGTGTCCCGACCTTTCACGGGACACCAAGATCTCAGGAGATGGTCGGTGCCACTCCGGGGCAAAGCTCACCTAAAGCATCCGGTGCCCAATGGCTCTTTAATGGAAGCATCTACTGTGCCTACAACGATGGGACGCTGGGCCAAAGTCCGTGTTGCAATGGTGGGCGGTCCCCTCTGTGAATCACGCAATGGGAAATCATTTGGAAAGAGTGGATTTTCCATTGCCGAATTAGCAGGGAGAAATTATTGTCTGCATTCTTGGCGAAGTAAATGGACAATTGCAACCTAACCAGCCAGAAATCCTATTTTTTTCTGTGGAGGGAATCGAAAATTGGCCAGGTTATGGGTTAGCATTCATCCCTCCCATTATTATCCCGCTTCAGCTTCTTTAACTCAGTTGTTGGGATGGTCAATCAGCATTTCATGGAAATTTTAGATGCATCCAATACAGGACCCCCTAGGGAGTCTAGTGAATTTTAGTGACTCCACAGCGACCTCACGATAATTGATATTTTGATTCTTACAGAAACATGGATGCAACATCTGGAAATGGGTCAAAATTGCAGCATCACACGGAATTTCGCTTGTGGATGTTGGTCATTGCTAGATAATTATCACTACTTGACTTAGCCCGTTAGATGGTACTAAAAAAATTGGATCGCTGGCACCCCAAACATGTCCCATTTCCATGCATTCCTGATGACCGTATCAGCAGCAAATGTCCAAAAGGAATCATCGCCATGTCTCTTCCAAAATGAGCATCCAAAGCTACAACTCACATCTGCCCATGAGCTGGTAAACCATGGTGATTGGTTAATGCATGTGACAATTGTGCTAGAGCAAGATGTGGAGGAATGTCATCTCCCACTCCAACAGCCCTTTCTCGGTTGTATCAAACATTAGTCCCCAAAAGACAGCAGCGCTACTGAAATGCAAGAACATCATTGGATATCCACCATTGCTGTTGGTGAACCCCCTGGGATTTCTATGTCAAACTCTTGGTGAATCTCGCCAGTGCTGCAGTATGCCCCTTTTCACAAGCCACAAGTTGGTTGATTTCTCACCATCAAGCTGAAGTAATATCCACTGAGCCTGCATCCAACACCCAACAGTGAGCCTACATAGCAACCAACCTCACAAAGCCTAGTGGTTCACCTTATGGAAAGGCAACACAAAATTCAATCCCCAACATGATCCCAGGACAAAATTGAAACAGTAGACGATCACCGAAGGGTTCCTACTTGAAAATTCCTCCTGTAGTCACAGGTGAATCACGCTGGTGATCGTGAACCAACCTCAAAAAAAAAGTGACTTCAAGCAGTTGCAAAGTCTCCCTGATTCCCACCCAGGAGCAGCGGTGTTATCCAAGTGCTCCTGACTCAAACCAATTTGGTGAGCACCACCTCTGGCACGGTGCCCGCTGGTCGAGTCAGTGATTCGGAGGGAACTACCTCGAACGATGCTCACCTAAAAATGACTTTCAGGGCGGGCTGTAGCTGATGTGAACGAAAAATGTGGTACCTTCATTGTGGTCAGATGGTTGCGGAGTAATGGCTTGCACCAACTTGTCAAATTGTTTGTTACATTGTTCACTGTTGGAATTTCTGTGACAGATGGGAGTGCTTTCGGACTACAGATGGACTTTTGATTTTCCATTTAGGTAGCAAAGCATCTACTTCTTGTCAACCATGGACTTTACAAATAACAAGATATGTTACATTTTCTACCCTAAAGACTAGGGTCACTATCTGATGATTCACCACATATTATCATCCCAATGAATGATGATCTGCTACCCTCATCATATCCCCAGTATATCCAGTTTGTACATTCATTATATATGCAGAATACAACGGCTATGTAGCCATTGTATACAGAAGCAATTGCAGCCGTTAAATAGCCATTGTATCACCACTAAAGAGCCATCATGTCGCCAATAGATAGCTAGCCATTATATATACATATAATCACATATATATATAGCCATTATATAG